CCGCCGCCGCCGCCGCCGCCGCCGCCGCTGGGCTCGAGCGGCCGCCGCCTCGTCACCATGAACCCCGGAGCCGCGCCCGGGAGAGCCGCGCACGGGGAGGCGGAGCGGGAGGCCCGGCGCCGCGGGAAGCGGGAGCGGCCGAGGGGGAAGGAGCGAGCGCCGAGCGAGGGCGGGAGGGCGGGCGGGAAGGAGGGAGGGAGCGAGGGAAAGAAGGAGGGCGGGCGGGTGGGTGTGTCCCGGCCCGGGGACCGGCCTCCGCCGCCGCCCCCGGCGCTGCCCGCCGGGCCCGAGGGGAGAGGGGTGCGGGGTGAGACGGTGGGGTGAGTGGAGGGCGGGAGGGGCGTGCGCGCCGGTGTGTGTGTGTGTGTGTGTGTGTGTGCGCGCGCGTGTGCGTGAGGGGGTCTCGGGCGGAGGACTGGGGCGCAGGGCTCGCGGTGCGGGAGATTCGGCGGGGTTCTGGCGGTGGATGCCAGGGGCCCGGGGCTGGGGGAAGAGGTGCGGGGAGCCTGGCAGGCGCTGGGAGCTAAGCGGGGGCCTGCGGGCGTGCGGGTGGGGTTCAGAGGGGGTGTGCACTGTAGGACCCGGGGGCCGAGGGGGGCTCGCACGGCTGCGGGAGCGAGTTTGGGCCCTGAGGAGGGATGTTTACCGCGAGGAGGCCGGAGGAGGAATATGGGGGGGGGGGGTCCCGTGGGGGTGTCTGGGGGGAGATGCTGGGTGAGGGGCGTCCCGGTGCGGGGACCGAGGAGTCAGGGATCAGGGCGCGGAGAGCAGCGGTGTGCGGAGGTAGAGGCTGCTAAGGAGTGGGCCCTCATACGCCGAGGAGGTCCGTTGAGGGGTCCCGGACGCTCGTGTGAGGAAAAACCCGGGGGCGCGCGGGGCGGTAGAGGGGGTCCCAGAGTGCGGAGAATCCTGGGGAGCCAGGAGTGAGCGGGGAGTCAGGAGGGGCGTCCGCGGTCGGGGCTGGGGGATCCAGGCGTGAGGTGCCGGCGGAACCCGCATCCGCATCGGGCCCGAGAGCCTGGGAGTCGGGCGGCGGGTCCTCGAGGACCAGTCTCCTGGTACGTGTGGGTATCGGCGTCGAGGGGGGCCTGGGCAATGGGCATTTCCGGGTGCTCTGCAATAAGGGGGGTGGGGGAGCCGGTCGTGGGCTGAGGAGAAGAAGGGGCCGGTCGCGGGCCTAGCTGAGCAGGCACTGTGCTTCTGAAGAGCAGCCACCTACTGTCAGGCCTGGAGCGACGGCGTGCATGACGGCTAAGTGGCCCCTCGGCCTCGGAGGGTCCGAGCTTTTTCGCGCCCGCGCCTTCGCGTTCCAACTTGGAAGCCACACGGCCAGCCTTGTAAACCAGGGGGCGGGGCAGTGCCGCAGGAGGGCGGGTCCGGGGGCGGAGCGGTAGCGCTCGCGCGCGCTCTCCACCAATCAGGAGGATTCGGGAGGGCCTGCGGAGCGTGACGTGATCGGCAAGGCCGAGGGGGCGACCTGCGGCCTACAGAGCCTCGCCTGCCCGCGCGGGGTTGCGCGCGCACTCCGGGCCTCGTAGCCACGTTCAACCCCGTCGTGACTTAAAAGACGTGACGCTAGTAGGTCCTTTCTCGCTCCCCCGAACCTCCCGGAGCTGGTGACAGCCAGGTGGCGTGCGCACCGAGGGAAGCAGCGAGCCTCTCCAAAGTTTTCAAGTACACTCCCGGAAGCCCTCTGGCGGGGGGGGGGGGGGGGGGGGGCCA